CTTGATAAATCAATTTCTGTAACTGACTATGCGACTTAGGTTAATTGGATTTCGTAATTGAAAGTAGAGATTAATTAAGGTGGTTTATTGTTAATTAAACTAGCAAGTGTGGTTTGTTGATTAATTTATGTTCTTCTTCAGGTGGTCAGGCAAGTACCAAGAGGAAGAAGCAATGCAGCAACTGTGGGGGATATAGGCATTATGCCAAGACTTGCAAAGTACCTGCTGCACCAGCTACAGAGCTGATAAAGTCAGCAGGCAGACCCCCACTGAACACTCCTTGGATGGTGGAGGAGAGGAAGAAGAAAGAGATTAGGGCTGCTAAAAAGGTAACACAAGCATTACACCAACTCCCCCTTTGTTTTATATATGTATGTGTCTTTTCCATTGACTTTTTATTTTTATATGCATGTCATAGAGTGCAATTGGGGCTGGACCAAACAGCATAGGAAACAAAAAGTTTCCTCAAGAGCAAGAAGGTTGTCTGCCATTCAGCAAGCGCCCACAGCCACAGTCTTCCTCAGCTAAGCATTCCTCAGCTCAGCCATCCTCTAGTCAGCCATCCTCAGCTCAGCCTTCCTCAAGTCAGCCTGCCTCAAGCCAACCAAAAAGAAAGACAAGGTCTTCCTCAAGTCAGCCTACAACAGCCACAGGTGTTGTAACAAGGGCCAGGCTGCAATCCCTCAACAACCTTACTCAGTGATGTACTCATGCTGGATATCAAACATTATGTCTGTTGAACAATTTCAAACTTTTATTATGTACTCATGACTGGTTATGTAACTTGCTAGTTTTTTAGTGGCTTCCCTTAACAAATTTGAACAATTAGATATTGAATTGTAATGGTTGCATGGCTTTGATTGCCATTGAAACATGTTGAAGTAAGGTTCTTTTGTCAACCTGTACTTGAACTATCTTAGTGTTTCACATATTTCCCATGTTTTAATGTTTCACATGTTTAAATAGGTTGATTAAAAGACAAGGCATAAATAGGAACTTAGACAAGGCATAAATAGGTTGATTAAAAGACATATTTATAACACTTCAAGTCATTACAAGAAATTATAACTACTTAATACAGCTTACTATTACACACCCCTAGCCATTAGGAAAATTACACCCATTGACAAACCTATACAAATGGCCATGCCCACCCAACCAAAACAGCTGATTGAAGACACCTTCCCTTCATTGCACTCCCTGTTCATTCTCTTCCTGTCAGCGTTCAAGGCCTTGCATCTCATCTTCAAATTATCAACTTCATTAAGTAGGCACCTCCTTTGGCCACTGATTTCATCAACTTCCCTTTTCAATTCATTAACTTCACCCTTTAGCAGCTTCTTATCCAACAACAGGTTGTTGATAACCCCTGTTTGCCAATCAGTTCCATCAGGTTGATCAACCCATTCGAAAGCTTTGCAACCCCTTGTTTCTGTTATTGGGTCATAAAACTTACATGATATGAACTTCCTGCCTGGATTCTCCCTTGTCCAGCTAGTGAGCTTGGCCATTGGCACACCACACTTACATTTTCTGGCCTCAGGAGGGGAAGAGCTAACAAACGACATAATCTGCATCAATTTTAGATCGACAGTCACATTTACAGATTTGTACACTGACGAATTAACATTGACAGCAACAAAATTCATTTTTAATTTCATAATACGAAAAGCCCCAAATTCAATTTCTGACGAACCCTAATTTCGCAATTGGGCATTTAGATGCGTACATAACATAATCCAACCATTAATCTGAGTACGAAACAATTGCAAATAATAATTGAAGAGAATTTAAACCATAATTACCAAACAACCGAACAATTGACCGCACTCACCTGTTTCAGCAGCTTCAATCTGTTCCTCTTCTCAAAAATCGTGGAAGAATCGTGAAAGAATTGTTTCAAGTATCGTGCAACAATGCAATGCGCTGCTGCTATTCAATAAGAACAACGATTTCGTTCATTGGGGGAGAATCGTGCAAGAATGGTTCTTATATATCGTGCAAGAATCGTGGAAGAATGGTTCTTATATACAGATCTTTTAAAAATATATCCGTTGGGGTGGGCCCCACTAACAGTTCTGTTAACGGAAGATGGATTTTGGTGTTAACTTCCAACTTTTATATTTTTGGGAGGTGTTAAAATAAAAGTTTTTTTTTGGGGGGTGTTAAAAAACATTTTCAGCCTTTTGTAAGGTGTTAAAATCCAAAATATCCTTAAATTTAAAATATTACTGAAAAGAGATAATGAGATAATAGTTTAATACTCCCTTTAGTTTTTTTATTTATTTATTTTTTTTCGACAGTGCAATACATGCGAAAACATATACTATCCCTCAGTGATGAGGGCTCATGATGCATCCACATTTCAAATCCAACGGGCTCTCGTGTGAGAGGGTGTGATAAAATATAAGTGAGGGCTCATGATGTGGGCTCATGATGCATCCACATTTCAAATCCAACGGGCTCTCGTGTGAGAGGGCGTGATAAAATATAAAATATTTCCTTGAATTTCAACAATTAGTTTAAGCTTTTGGTTGAGTTGGTTTTTCACATGATATCAAGAACCAGCATGACCTAAAGGGTTTATTAGTTTAGATGAACTACTACTAGAGGGGGGTGAATAGTAATAGGTTCCAATCGCGGAACTTAAGCGGAAATAAACAGTTAAAACATAAAGGAACTTAAAACACACAACAAGTTTTACGAGGAAACCATCCAGTGCCTAACTGGAAGTAAAACCTCGGCCCTATTGGGACTTATAAACAAATTCCACTATAATAGGCAACTCTCCTAGTACAACCTATTACACAGACCTTTGTTTTGCAAGTTCCACCACAAACACTTGACTATATGATAGGACACCTCCTACCAGACCTAAGACACCTCCTAGGACCCTTTTCACCCTTTACCCAGGACACTTCCTAGGTGACCCAAGACACCTCTCAGGTTCCTTTCACTCACTGTGCACTCACAGCTACCACTCGAATTTTAGAGAATTCAAACTCATACACAAGTGTGAATTTAAGAGAATTCACAATCTCACCCCAAAACCAATTACAACACAAAGACCCACTCTAACACATAAATGGAAAGCTACACATGAAACCCGAAATCAAAATGATAAAGCTTTAACCTTTGGCAAACTTACTCTTAAGCACTAAGTGGTTTTCACACTTAAAAACTCTCAATTTGCTAAGCTGAAGTACTTCTATATTTATAGGAGTTTCTCAGCTACACAAACTAGGATTTTCGCAAATAAGATAAATCAAACAGAAATCTGATTTTATCTTCTTTAAAATCGAAATCAAAACAGATTTATTTTCGTTTTATCTGAAAACCAATTTTATCAAATTCGTTTTAACTAAAAGATAGAATTTTATGAAAAAGATAAAACCGAGTTAAGTCAGATTTTATAAGATAAAATCAGTTAAGTACTTTTTCATAAAACCAAAGTTATCTTTTACGAATTAATCAGCTTGCCAAGCTTTATCTGATTTCTAAAAAATTTCATGCATAACAACCATTAATATGCTTACATCAACCTACAAAAACAAACTTATCTTTTATACAACTATTAAGTTATGAAGTTTATCTTTTTCGATTGATATCTCGATCTTTGCATTGATCCTTGGTTATTGAGGCTTGCCCTAGCATTACATCGGAACCAGGTCGTTACAACCCGTTTTGAAGTTCCTGTTGAGAAACTTCGGGAAGTTCCATTGCTGGAACTCTTCTTCTGTCTTTACTTATCCTCTTGGATCTTCTAAAGTTCCTTTGTCTCAGTTCCCACTTCAGCCACTACTTACTGAACCTGCAAACATCACAACACTAGAAAATCCTTATTAAAAGGAAGTTTGCTCAATTCTTAACATCATCATCAAAACCTGATAAGGGTCAACAGGGTTACATTCAAATCTCATCCACCATCCACTTTCAAATGTTTTGGTTGATTAAGTCTTTAACATAGTCTATTTCGTAAATAACTTCGCTGTTAATATGACATGACAGAGGCGGACCTTCATGGAGGGCCATCATGCGCCTGGCCCTTGGTACCAGCCAAAAAAAAAAATAGTTGAATAAGATGGGTATTGGTGTATTAGATAGTTTAAGAAATACATGTAAAGGCCCAAATTTGTTGCAATTGCTTTGACTGTATAACTGACTTCCTATCTACCTCCCTCCTAGATTCCCCCTAGTGGCCTATTTTTTTTTCTTCTCCCTAATTTTTTAATAAACCCTAGGTACTACACGGTTAAAGCAAGCTACTAGTACTTATTATCATCAAATTGCTTAGGAAGACTAGCACTACTACATTATGAGTATTACTTTTGCACCAAATCAAGAATCCATAGGTAAATTTAAATCCTTTACTGTGCTTTTTTTTTAATTTATTTACGTTTGCAATGTCTAATTTTATAAATTTTGATTTTTTTTTTGTTTTATGTATTTTAATGGATTATTAACATGATATTCGTATTTGTTTATGAGTTAATAACAAATAAATTTAATACAAAATAAATTTCAGATTAATATGAACAAACCAAAATTAATTACCTCTTTTTTATTAAGAGGAAAGCGCCGCAGAATGATACAACCCTAACCAATGAAGATTAATATTATTTGTTTTTATTACTCAAGTTCTATACTTTAATTTGTATTTATGTGTATTGTGTAACACATTCAGTTTTGATCGCCCCCTAAAGAAAATTTTTCAAGATCTGCCACTATGACATGAGATTATATTATAATGTATAAAATATGCTATTATTACAACAATAAATAAGTATGATAGGTTACAAGTCGAATTATAATAATATTCCTTAAGTGTTGTCGTACAAAGTTTCTCTTTATTCTTTCCTTGATCAGCTTAATATATTGGTTGTTACCTTTATCCTTTTTGATTGATACTTATACTTTGTATTATATTACACTCTATCTCAATAACCAACTTTTGAAATAACTATATATAGAAAGCCTGCAATTAAATTATCATTAAGCCCATTAAAAGAATTTCTCAGCTTTCTATATTTTGAAAAACCGCAATTTAAAATGGTAAATAAAAGTGAAATAACACAAACCCTTCCTACAAATTTAAATATATATGAAGTTGCATTTAAGGGAGATGAAAATTACTTGAAAGAGTTGCTAAACAAAGATGAATTAGCTCTCGATCGATGCATCATTGCAAAATCATGCACCTACATGCAATCTCCATTGCATATAGCCGTTGAAATGAATCACTTAAAATTCCTACAAGAAATTCTAAAATTAAAGCCAAAACTAGCCGAGGTGGTTGATCAAATAAAAAGATCAACACCACTACACATTGCAGCTGCACAAAAAGGGTCGTTACCAATTGTCCAGGAGTTGCTCAAAGTGAAGCCAAACATGTGTTTCGTGCACGATCAAGATGGAATGACGCCCCTTCATGTCGCGGCTGTAAATGGTAACACTCAAGTGCTTATAGAGTTTATCGAGAAGAAGCGTCAGGCTGCATTGGAACGAACTGCGAGAGGTGAAACTATTTTACATTTGTGCGTCAAAAATTGTCAACTAGAGACTCTTAAAGCATTGGTTGAAATTACGTATGATCTTGAGTTACGTAACTCCCAGGATAGTGATGGCAATACTGTCTTGCACCTTGCTGTGGCTTACAAAGAAACCGAGGTACGTGACATCGAATCTAACACTTCAATTTTCTTTGATTTTTACGTTGATTTTAGTATTATACTATCATGAATTTGCTCTTGCATAGTTGCATTATTTTACATCACTAACATCTTTAATGTCGTATCAGTGACAATTATGTGTTAGTATTATAAAGTAAAATAAAGGATAAATGAAATATTAGAGGATAGATGGAATTGAAAAGCTATTTTATTAATTGCATTAAATTTGACTGAGTACATGGCTGCTGCTTGTATAACATGCAGCAAAAATAACAAACAAAGCTACATGATAGGAATTAGGAAGCATAACTCCACTAGTATAAATGTATAATAAAAAAATTAAACCCACCTAAATATTAAACTCCTAACAAAGTGCTACTTACCAACTAATCTGCTGGATAATAGGAACAGGAAAAAAAAATGCTAAAACTGAAAGTTTTTTATTTTTATTTTTAAGCTGTACTATAAACCTTTTTTAAAGATCATGATCCACTTAATTATGCTCTTAAAGTATCTCAATCCCAATTTACTTGTTTAGAAATTGCATGTAAAATCATGTGAGAACCATTTTTGTAAAGTAACGTGAAAAGGTAAATGTGTGTATACATAAAATAAAAACGGGTTCAATTCAAATATTGATGTTGAGTAAGATTAACCAAACCCTTTCATTTTTCCCAGCCTTTTATTAAATGTTTATTTGGTAACGATGCAGATGGTAAGATTTCTACTAGAGCAAGGTGACAAGATAGATAATAATGTTATGAACAAGAAAGACAAAACAATAATGGATATTTACGACCTGACAAAAATTAGGAAGGATAAAAAATACGATGAGAATAAATTAAAAACAAGTTGTTGGGAAACTATTTTAAGAAAATTAGGGAGAAAAACAGAGGATGAATCAACAGAAGGTGAAGTAGCAGATAAGGAAATTAAGAAATTACTTAAAGGACACAACACATTACGAGCTGAAAAGGTGCTGAAGCGTAGCAAAGACGAAAAATGGTTGGAGGAGCAGAACACAGCTCTAATGGTTGTGGCATCTTGTATTGCAACCTTGTCATTCCAAGTCGGAATTAATCCACCCGGAAGCGTTTGGCAGGATAACAGTAATGGTCATGAGGCAGGCACTTCCATAATGTCATACGATAAAGATGTAGGTTTATACAATGTCGTACAAGTTAGCAACACTATCGGACTTATGTCATCCCTAAGTGTCATCCTCCTCCTTATTAGCGGCCTTCCTTGCAAGCGATATTTTGTGTTCATTTTGAGGGTTACTTTGTGGATTGCTGTAACCGCGAGTGCAGCTACTTACTTTTTCACGATAGGGTACCTCACAAATGAGCTTTGGGACAAAGCTGCCTTGGTTGAAGCTATGGAGTATTCCGTCGAGATTTGGCTATGGCTCATGTTAGTGATACTCTTTGGACATGGTTTGCGCTTCATATGGATGTGTCTCGGTCATAAGTTGAGGTTAAGAGTTAAAAAACTTTTGGGAGCTGAAGATTTTTGTTAATATGTTTAATTCATCGACCACACTTTACAACAAGGCATGCTTAATATGTTAATATGTTTAATTCATTGATCGCTTATGTTGATACGTTTAGTCCAATAAGGCATGCTTAATTTTTAAATAAAATGTACCATTGTGTGTGTTTTCATATAGAATTCACAATGTACTTGGTTATAAAATGTTTAATGTGTGTTTTCAAATGTACCATTCGTATTTGCGAAGATTTACATAATCTTGCAATTGCAACCTTGGAGATTTTTATTCACCTTCTTGTACAAGTAATTATATTGCTCTTTTTTGCATTTTACAAAGATATATCACTTTCATATTTTACCCTGAGTACGTCGAGGTTATCTACTTTTCAAATTTAGTTTGTATCATTTGATAAGATCATCTTACAATCAATTAATTTAATGAGCTACGAGGAGCTTTAATTTTGCAATCTCCTAAGCTTTTTCATTGCATTACAGTCAAAGAAGGTGCTAAAAATGATAGTAAATCAACGATAGTTGTTAGAGAACAAAGATAGTGGTATGTAACAATGGCACGCAGAAATGTCAAGTGGTAGGAGCATGATATGCATGATAACAATTATAATTTATAATTACAATATAGTTGGCCATGTTGAAGGTTCTTCTATAACTGCAACAATAACCGAACCATTACACATTTTATTTGGGTTAATTAGCTGATATTGTGAAAAACTCACATGTGAGTAGAAGCGTTATCCTTCATTAAACGGGTGTAAAACAGTAACAGTAGCAAGAGGGGGATATGGCCCATTTGACTTTATCAATTCATTGAACTCTTGTTATAACGGGTAGATGTGGCCCAAGCCCATTTGCGCTTTTGTGACTTTTGTACATTATTCATGTTTTCATTTTGACCATCAACGATTGTAGAAATCGGATACTGTCTTTACTTTTGAAAATTTTTAACACTATGCATATTTCATCCCTGTTAGAAATTTCTGTGAGATTTTTTTTAAATCTGGTTTGATAGTTTAACAGTTTGAGTTTAAAATAAATTATTTTTCCTTTCCTCCTACTTGAGCTTGCTTTGACAAAGCCCATATAGTGATTAAAATACTACGTACCTTTTGTATTCCTTTAAAATATTCCATACAACACTTTCATTTTAGACTTTTAGTGCAGGTCACAGTAGACTACTATAAGGTCTAAACTAATGCTAATAGTATTACGTCACGCCAATAAACTCATCAATGTTACGTACGTCACGTCTCTTATTGAATTCTTTTTTTTTTTCGGTAATTGAGTTTTCTTTGACATGAACTAGTAAGGAAATTTCCATAAAAAAAAAAAAAAAAAAAAAAAAAAAAAAAAAAAAAACTAATAAGGAAATACATTTCAAAATTATCGCCCTTGTTATATTTTTTTTCTAGGGTTTTCTTCATCGGGTAAAAAAATAAATAAATAAAATTAGCAAAAATGTTAAATGTCTTTTTATCTATCTATTTATAACCTATACTAAAAGCAAATCTTTCCATTGTGAAAAAATTTCTAGCTTTTTTCGTTTTTTTTTTTTTTTTGGCAAAATCAATAAGTAACTATTTATACCTTATGATATTTTCATTCCAATTTGACAATCATATTCCATATATACCCAAATGAAATATTTCTGAATATTTTTTATATACTTTATATTTGTAATATTATTGTCAAAAATATTTAAAAACCGTACATGGGGTTTTAACCTTTTTCCTTATATGCTGAAAAGAGTTTAAAATCAATTTCTATTACTTGTATTTGTAGATAGAAAGATGTCTAACTCTTGACTTTTTGTTAATCCTGATTTGGTGTTGCATATTTACGGTCTTTTCATAATAACAAGTACCGAATTATTTGAGTTATTATAAAACTACTTGCAATACCATTATTCAAAAAAATCTTTTGGATGTATTGAGCTGACTTGAGAGTACAATAATTCAATGACTTTTGTAAGGTAACTTTTGTTGCACAGTTAAAGTTAAGTTTAACTCATATATAAGATAAATGTAATATAGCTACACTTTTTTTACTTGATGCAAAAGGCAAACTTTGCATTAAAATGAACAATAATTTATTCTACTATACGGACTAGAAATTTTTTACAAAATACTTTTAGGCAAACAAAAAGTCAATTTTATCATCATTAAATCTCTCAATTTGTTAACTATCGTACCACTACTAATACTAATAACACAGGTGCACGTTAATTTTATTGTATGACAGTCAATTTAAGGGTAACTTAAACTAATTTTATGATGATAACTTAAACCCCTTAAAAGATAACTTTTAATTTGTCGTTGTTTGAATTTTATTTTAATGAGTAATTTCCTATAGATTCATGGTTACATACTATAAAGACTAATATGATTAATCTAATACATTTAATTATAAGTTTTTTGTAAGAAAAAATTTATTATTAGAAAAATAATAACATTTGTAGTATAAATGATAACTTTAATTACTGTTAAGATAAATTTAACTCATTTTAAAATAAATTAACGTACACCCACCTTTTGGAGAATTTGTGTACCTTCATTATAAAATATTATTCAAAGATGAAAATTCTACTTCGTATATCAAAACCATATATATACATAGCCTACTATACCCTTTCCTCAAAAAATAAAATAAAAATCTTATTATAGCCTTCCACCTTATATCAACCCCTTACAATCTTACCCAAAATTTTTGTTGTAAAAGATGGAAGCACAAGGAGAAAGACTTCAGCTCCTTACAACGAGGCTATACGATGCAGCACTTACAGGAGACGTACCATCGTTGCGCAACTTGCTCCAACAAGATCCACTTATCCTCGATCGATGCATCATCGAGAAATCAAGCCGTTTTATGCAATCACCATTACATGTGGCCGTTAACCTCGGGTACTTAGAGTTTACAACTGAGGTAATACATCGAAAGCCCGAGTTAGCAGAAGAACTTGATCAACTAAAAAGATGGTCACCACTACACATGGCCTCGGCAAAAAGGTACTTGGAGATAGTTAGTGTGTTGTTAACTGCAAATCCAAACATGTGTTTTGCCCGCGATATAGATGGTAGGAACGCAGTCCATGTTGCGGCTATATACGGTCAAATTCATGCGGTTGAAGTGCTTCTTAGGGCCAAGCCAGAGGCTGCGCGGGAGCGGACTACGAGCGGCGAAAGTATTTTGCACTTGTGTATGAAGCATGGTCAACCAGAAGTCCTTAGATCTTTGGTGCAAACAATGGGCGATGGTCAACTGCTTAACTTCAAGGACAGCGATGGCAATACCGTTTTACACCTAGTAGTGGCTGCAAAACATTATGAGGTACTCCCTCCGTCTCAGAATAGCTGTATTTTTATTTTTGAGTTTGATCAAATTTGTTGCTACCACAAACATCAAGTAACTTGGCTAACTAAAGTCTTAAATTTGTTGGGTTAATCTCTCCAAATCCCAATTAGTGATGTATTATTATTATTATTATTATTATTATTAGCAATAATAATTATAGTAGCAAAAAAAAAAATAAAAAATAAAAAATAAAAAAATAATGAAGAAGATAGGTGACGATTGGAACTTGGGTGTATGGACATAAAAGTCCAAAGTGTAAGTCTTAAATGCAAGAAGACTTTGTCACCATTTTGTCTACTAGGGGGAGACACATTTACTTAGTGTTGACAAACTTGGTGCTTGTTGTAGGTAAGAAGGTAGTGATGCTAGATGGGAAACTTGATGGAGAAGCTCCATCTTGTTATACTACGGGTCTGTTCTGTTCCGTTGAAATTCAGTTCTGTTTCGTTGAAATTTAGCTCAGCTCAGTTCTGTTCAGTTCAGTTCAGTTCAGCTCAGCACTTAATTTATGTCTAATGATATTGCTAATGATATAAAGCCAAATTTCATTCTTTTAAGATCTTATTACAACGACAACAACAACAAAAATAATAATAATAAATAGAATATAATAATAATAATAATAATAATAATAATAATTGTTTCGGATGAAAACAATCGAATCTCGGAAGATCCTTTTATCTTGAGGGAACTTGGTCTCGGTCCGAACGACGCAGGAGCCGAGGGTTTCCTGCACAACAAATACACGTAAACTAGCCTCGGGGGGGACGCCGAGGAAGGCCCCTCCGATGCTTAAGTCAGTATATTAGAGAGAGAAAGCTGTGCAAGAGTTTAGTTGCTTGAGGCTTTATTGTCTTACCAAGAATTGACCAAATTGTTGGCTTTTATACCTTGGCTAATGAAGGAGGCGGATTGGGCCCGGAAGTCAGTTGGGCTGGGCCAAGCTGATTGGGCCGTTGACTGACCTTGACATGGCTTTGAGGATGTTGATTTTTGACTTTAGCACATTTGGAGAGTTGAACCTTAACCTTGGGCTTTTAATTGGATCATTCAGTGACCAGGCCCAATTGGACTAAATTGGACCCAAACAACTTGCCCCCCAGACCCGATTTGGAAGGATGACGGGTCGGGTTTGATTTAATCAGAAAAGGAGGGAAGTGAATGATTTGTTAATCCAAAAATGTGAATTTAAACCATAATTAACCCATGATTAATGAGATAACAACAGTTAATGTGGATAATTGCGGAAGTTGGACGGGTAGTGGGCGATTTAACTGCAAGGTCGTGTGTTTAACGGTTACTTAGTGGGGTGCTTGAGAGAAATTGAAACGCAGACTCCTTGAATTCCCATTTCTGGAGATATAAATAGAGGCGCGTCTTCTCTCCCCACTCATTCATCAACACAAACCCAGAATTCTCAAGAACGCTCAAGAGCCCGCATCAAAACTTCGCAAATTCCCCGAGCATTAAGCTTAGAAGCTGAGACTTGTCACTACCAATTCGTAAATCGGCGACTTTTGCTTCAGATCAAGGTAAATTCCTTTGATTTTATTTCATTTTTCTTCGACTTTGCACTCTTTCCCCTTTTTCGACTTTTCTCTTCGAAATAGTCCATGGCAAGAGGAGTTAGAGGTAGAGCCCGTGCTCCAAGAAGAGCAAGGCCGATTCCCGATCCTAGGAATAGGATTGGGACCTGGAATGGTCGAAGGCCGGAGTCTGACCCTGCTGATGGGATTAGGGCGACTCCCCTTTCCTCGGCTCCTCCTCAAAGAACGGATGAGCCGAGTGCTTCTGGACGGGACGATGAAATTCCCGCTGTCCTTTGGGATATCCTCCCTGGGTTTTCAGAGTGGGAGAATGCCGAAGTCGCTTCGGCCATGATAAAGAACCGCCCCTACTCATGGTGGGTAGAGAACGCCGATCAATATCGATTTGCCGAGCAAATTGAGTTGCACTACGGCATTTTTGAAGCTGATGGATATTGGTGCCGAATGCCCTCAGCATCCGATAGAATCCATCGTCCACCCCCGGGGTATGTGGGGGTGTACACGAGACAGCTTCAGTATGGGCTGAGGTTCCCTTTGGACGTTTTCGTCCGAGACTTGCTGATCCATTACAACATTTCCCTATGTCAGCTAACCCCCACCAGCATCCGAAGGGTGATGACATACCTATGGGTCTGCAAGTTCTTCAGATACGTGCCGAACCTGCACTGCTTCCGAAAGCTCCATCGGCTAGTGCCAAATATTCAGAGTGGGCACGGAAGCCATGGTTCTGGGTGGTATCGGATTGAGTCCCGGCCCCAATATTTGACCATGTGGCCAAATGACTCTTCAGACAAGGACTGGAGAGGTCAATGGATTTGGGTTAGGGCACCCATAGATCCGGGCCACCCTTGTGTCTTCAGCGCTCCCCGGTACTTAGCTGAGCCTGATCCCGAAATGGGAAGTCTAGGTCCCCCCGCAGATAACGGGGCGGATCCGAACCTGGATCAGCAAAATATCTTCGGCAAGCTGCCGAACCCGGGGGGGAGTGGTCGAATGCAGCATATCCCGGAGACTTGGCTCCCCGATACGCATTACGTTTTCCAAGAGAATATGCTAGCAGCTGTTGGCCTCAGCCGAAAGTTTAAGGATGGTAAGCTTCTTCGGCTGGGGCCGAGGCTTTTAACTACCTCTTTTTCTTCTCTCGCTTTGCTTTTTTATGCTGTGCCAACATATCTGAGCTAAACTTTTTCCCTTTCCTTTTTTCAGAGCGGGACGAGACCAACGTTGGTATTAACTACGCTCGTCTTGGTGTTAACCGAGAGCGAGTTGTAACTGAACGGGCCCCGTCTATCACTGAGCCGAGGCATAGGGAAGTTCATCTGGACTCTTCCCACTTCCAAATTGAGGCTGTCGCTCTGTATCAGAGGCAGAAGCCTTGGTGGAAGAAGAGAGACCCTTGGTTTCAGCTGCTGAACGAAGAAGCTGAAGCTGCCCGCACAGCCGAAGAGGTTGCACGGGTACTTGAGGCTTGTGAAGGAGGAGAAGGGTCCTCCAGAGCTGCTGAAGCCGAAGCTGCAGCTAGAGCAGCTGAAGAAGACGAGGCTTTGCTGAAGACCTCGGTGAGCTTTCAGACAACTTTTTTCTTTTCTTCTTCTTCTTTTTTTTTTTTTTACTCACACTCTTCTTCCCCCCTGTCTGTTACAGTCTGAAGAGAGTAACAGACACAGAGAAGGCAAAGCTCCTGTTCGTCCCGAAGATCAAATACAAGAGTCTTCAGACTCAGATATGGACGAGCAGCCTCTTCTGAAAAGGCGCCGAAGGATGGCCATCATCGGCCCTCATGACTTTCAGCAGAGGCCGATGACCATCGGCGTCGCAATAAGGGAACCTGAGGAAGGCAATGGATCGCCGAGGGTTCCCCAGCCAACACCCCAATCTCCTCAAAAGACCCCTCCGCCACCTCCTGAGATGGAGGTGGATCAGAGGACTCCCGAACCTAAGGGAGGGGTCCAAGAAGAAATCAAGGAGAGTGCTGCTGAGCACGGAAATAAAGATGCCGTGATGTCAAGTGCTGAAGGCTTCACGGCAGATATCGCAAGAGAGGTTGAGGCTTTCGTCCTCACCCCTGAAGAAGAGGAGGTCATAGTACTTGACTCCTCTGAGAAGGACGATGCTGAGACAACCAAAGCTAATCAAGCTCCATCGTCGTCCTTCCCTTCTTTCCAGACTCTGCATTCTGGAGAAATGGGTTTCTCGGCCCCCCGAATTCCAATCCCAGATCACATCTGGGACCTCATATGGGGTCAAAACCGAGAAGGAGCTGCAGCCTACTTCGGCAATTTTGCTGGCATGTCCGAAGTAGACAGGGCAAGGATCTGGTCGCTGAAGGCCACTGCTGGGATGGGCGAATCCAGTAGATCAGTTCCTGACCCAGCCAGGTCTAACCAACTGCTGATGATGCAGGTAATTTTCCTTCATTTCCTCCGAAATTCAGCTCTATTTTTTTCTTATTACTTATTTTTTTTTTGTCTTCCTGTTTTCAGTTCGTGCACAATCAGACTCTCACTGTAGAGCTGATTGATACCCTACAAGATAGGGTAGACGCTGCTGTGCACGAAAGGAAGGTGGCTGAAGAGGAAGTTAAGCTTGCTAAGCTGAAGCAAGCAGCAGCTGAAGAGAAGCAGCAGGAGGTTGAGGAGTACGGTAAAAAAGCTGCCGAAGCTCTGAAAACCTTCTGCGATGCTATGGAGATGGAGGTTTTTCCCCCACTGATGGAAGGGGAAAAATTCCTCCAGGAGCATATGGGAGTGGACGTCTCCAAATTCAAGGCTGCTATTGAGAGCCGAATTCAAGAAGGAACTGCTGCACAAGCTGAAGTGCAGCAGCGTCTAGAGGCTCTTGAAGCCAGCCGAATGGCTGCTGAAGAGTTGCTCTTGGCCAAAGACGTCCAACTCTCAGAGGCTGCTGCTGCTGCTGAAGCTCAAAGAGCTAAATTCCAAGAGGCTGAGGATCAACTGCTGATCCAGAAAGTTGAAGTGGCCCAAGCTCAGACAAAGGCTTTCCAAATTCAGCAAGAGCTGAATGAGCTGAAGGGGTCCTCCTCCAAAGTCGCTGAACAGCTGAAGAAATCCGAGGAAGACTTGGAGGAGACCCAGAAGAAGCTGGCTGATGCTGAGGCTTTACTCAAAGTCCGTGTTTACACCCAAGAGGAATATGAGATGGGTTTCAGAAACGGATTCCGAGTATGCCGAAGACTCTGCCTTCATGCTGAGCCGAAGCTGGACTGGTCTAAATGTGCTGAGTGGGTCCAGAATCCCGAAGACCCTCACATGAAGTATGCAACTCCAGCTGAAGCTGAAATTCTTAAGGCTGAGGAAGCCGAAGAGGAAGCTGAAAGACTGGAGTTGGAAGCTGAGCAGAGGGAAAGGGAGGCTCGGCAAAGTGCAAAGCCCGCCTCTTCTGCTGCTGGGGCTGAGGCCACCATGGGAC